CCCGCCGCCGGGGTCGCGCCCACCCGCAATCGGGCTCCGGCTCCGGCGCCCCGTGCGCAGGCGCGGGCAGAGCTAGCACACCTGCCCCGCGGACCCCGCGCCCCGCGCCCCTCGCTGGTCTGGGCAGAGACCCAGGGCCCCTAGGGGGTGCTTGCAGACGAGCTGCTTAGGACCCTCGCATTCTGGGCTACAGCTGACGGATTAGGGTTCCGTTCTGGGGGGCTCTGATTGACTTAGGGGCAGAATGTGGGAATTCCACTAGGAGCAGATTCCTTCCATACCCGGCCTAGACCCTAAGTACCAGACTTAGACATCTGGGGGCGGACAGAACCAAACAAATCGAACACTGTGTTTTGGCGTCCAGGAGGCTTTTGCATTAGGCGATATGACATGATGCATGTTCATGTCGAGTGGCCTAAGAGCTACCGTAAAGGAGCAGCAACGTGACTGAGCCATGCGTAAGGGGTAAGGAGAGTTTACACCTCACCTGCATATGTGCTTCCTTGTGGAACTGCGTAAGACTAGGATAACTTTATGATGCCAAGAGCAAAAGTGTTCAAGGGGCTTTCAACCCACCGTGCACAAATAATCAACAAATGCAGGGAAACGAACAAACCATATCCAGCCAAAGGCTCAGGGAAGCTGCTTCAACTTTTAAAAGCTGACCAAAGGGATCGTGAACACTTTCCCTCCTCTGAACAATTCCGGAGAACTTAAAACCATTAGCACAGGAACAAGCAAACCATTCATAGGTGGAAGAATCATAACTGCCAACAACCCATCTTATAAAGCTTTGTTGACATCAATTAGACATTGAAAAGCTTACAAGAAGAGGTGAGGTCTCTTTTCTGATCTTCCAATCTGTAGGATTGTTGCAAAAGAAATTCTCTTGAAATTTAGACTATAAATTATCGATAGCCTAACAAGAGTCTCATGGACTGAACTTCAGGATTCTGGGATTTTTCAAATAAGTTTTAAAATATAATTTGTAAGTTACGGTCACTTTCAAAGTATTTGTTATATGTGTCGTCATGCCTTGTGATCAAGTATTATTGGACAATTTGCCTTCCACTTGTGGCTCTTTTGTTCTGTTTTTGTTCCCCTGAAATCTTTATAAATACATAGTTTAGGTGTACAGAAAACTGCTGACCTACCTAGGTGAGTTAAAACTCCTAGCAGAAGGAACAATGTTAAAGAAAAGCTTAACTTATTTTATGGTCCAGTGGTCCATATTTAGCATACCCAGCAGGTTAGCGGCATTGCCCTGTGAGTAATTGTCAACTGTCCACTTTTCAATCATCAGGGAGCCAGGAGTCTCCCCTCTTCACCTCTAACACTTGGCGCTCCAACTCCCCCTTCCTGAGGCCCAAGCAAGGCCATGGCCTGTAGCTCCCTCCCTCTTCACTAACTTCCTTAACCTTTTCTGAAATCTGAGGTACAAATTCAGACCCCAGATCTGGCAAGGTAGGCTCCACATATTATATTTCAGTCTTCATTTTTTTAATACAGAAAAGTAATTCAGGAAAGCTTCAAGGTGGTGCTTCAAAGCCTCATGCACTTGGGTAAAGATGTGCTCTTAAGAAGGTAGTACAGTAACAAGAGGGGCAATTTACTTCAGATCTATTTTCCATCCAAATCATGGGTTGCCATGGTGAATATTAAAATTTGGATATGACCTGAAGGAAAGAAATAAAATGATCTGGAACATATACACTATCAGTAATTAAGTAAAGAATTATTAGCAGCAAAATAATGAACTGCTTTACAAAACTGGTACCCAAATAATTATTATCACTATTAGCACAGAGCTCAGACTATTACTTTTTTTTCCAAATTCCTGGGTTAATAGGCCAAACTGTTAGCTGCAGTTTTTCAGTATCATGATTAAGCCTTCAGTTTTAGAAATTTTAACACCGAGTGTTCTAGGACATCGAGTAACTGACCTTTTCATCCCTACCAAAAAAAAAAAAAAAAAAGCCTCAGTGTGGAGTTGCCAGCTATTCTACAGGAAATTGAGTCACTACCCCAAACAACACACCTAAATGTCATCTGCAACTAGCAGGACAGAATCATGAACCAGTTTAATTTTGGCTTTTACCAAGAACACAAACTGCATTCATTAATAAAATACTTTCCCCCTACAGAGAGCAGCATGCCCTACAGCTCTGCTTTACAATATAGGAAAACTCTTCTACTTAGCTGGCCAAAATCTTTTTGTGGCAATGAACTGAAGAGAGAAAAACAACAAGGCAAAACCTGTTGGCCACATGCCATCTGGTGTAGGTGAGGGCAGCGGGACAGTAGTTAATACCTCAAGCCTTTGGAAGCCCCCCTTCAGTGGCACTGGCTTTCTTCAAGGTGCCCTTGAACTGTGTGGCACCCCTGTGTCTGCTTAAAGTCCCCTGTGACAGCAGAGCCCTCAGTGCTTTGGGGCCAGCCCAGGGCTCCCACCACGGTGGTGCATGCGAGGGTTCCTGACCCAGGGCCTGAAACCTTGCCAGGGCTTCCAGGAAAGGATGCTGAAGCTCCAGCTTCCCCTTCATAAAGGAAAAGAACCTCAGCTCAGGGCCATAGATTTGGCTGGACTCTGAGGTTGTTTTCTTGTGAAAGTTCTGCCCATGACTCCCAAACACTATTTACCAGGATACTGTCCTGTGAAGCAAAAGGATCATGCTGTGACACATTACTAGGTGCGGGTTCATCTGCCTTGCTGACAGTTGGGGGTGGGAAGGTTGTGTGCACTTGCTGTAATGCCTAGACAGACCTATTGCTGCAAATGAGGAAAACAAGAACAAAAAAAAAATGTGATTCGGATACCACTTGCTTCCCTTAATTAGAAACTAATAAAAACATCACTACCAATTCAAATTGCTTTATTTATTTATTTATTTATTTATATGTATTTAGCACAGGGTCTACAGGGTCTCACTACACTGATTGGACTCATAGTGATCCTCCTGTTTTCAGCCTCCCAAGTGCTGGGATTACAGGTGCGTGCCATCACACCTACTCTCAATCACCCTCTCAGTGTGCCCCAGGGGCAGGGGCAGGGGCAGCATGGCAGGCCCGGTGATCGAACCCCCAGCCCCTGCGTCTGCCTAACCAGGTGCTTTAATCCACTGAGCTATCTAGTAGGCCCTCAGATTGTTTTAAAGTTTTAAAAATGTCATTTTAAACAGATCCTAAGAGCAAATGCTTAAGTATATGCCTTCCTAGGCAGTTCTGGTTTCTCCTCTGGATTGCCACCCAAATCCCCTTTGTTCCTCAGGAAGGAGATAGCGTCTCAAGCAGGTAGAACTGGAGCAAATGAGTTCCGCTTCACCACGCGCTGCTCCGAGCGAGGCGCTGCCTGACCTGGCTGCGCAGGGATTTGGGCAGGTTAGCTTTCACTTTTGCTGACATGCTTTTTCCTCTCTATACGTTTTATCTGATGGGAGATACATGAAGGCCCTGGGTCCTCTTTCAGCGTGTACATGTGACAGGTTTCAGCAAAGCTTGCCAGTGGCAAGCAGCTGTCATTTCCAAGTGTATTTCTGGCACCAAGTCCTTGTTTTGAAGTATTTTAAAATATATAAACTTTCATTTGGTACTTCAAAAATTTGTCCAGAGAGAAGATGTGTCTAATTTTGTGAGTATTTTATTTCCTTTCATCTTTCTACCATCTACGATTTTTCCAGTGCTGCCGAAGGCTCTAGTAAAAATATTTTAAATTAAGTAAGCACAGGATTGAGTATCACTGACTTCTAGTCCGATCAGCAACTCCACTTTTTTTTTTTTTTTTTTTTTTTTTTAGCACTGCCTCTGCGTCATCCACTGAGTTTGTACAAACAAGATGACTCCAGGAGTGTGTCCCTTTTCTAAGAAAAGCCTAGAGTCCAGCAATGAGGACAATTTCAGCACAGCCCACAGGAGGAAGCACTCAGGAAGAAGTAAGCATTGGGCTGTGGGACGGTGGAAGGGGGCTGCATAGCTGACATGATACAGAGGCAGAAGGGGGGACAGAGGCAAGTGATGAGGGTAGGCAGACTTTAGAGAAAACGGCGGGGGTAAACATTTAGGCCTGTGATCAACAAGGTGTGTATGTCTATGTGTAAAGAAACTACCAGGAGTAGAGCTTGGCTTAGGGGAAAAGAGGCTGGAGAAGTCTAAGAAATTACAGAGATCTGGAAAGAAAAGACTCAAATCCATGCAATTAGGAATGAGAAGGGTGAAATCACCACAGACTTTGCAGAAATTAAGAGGATCATCTCTATCTTGAAAACATATATT